CTGAAGCCGCCGTTAGCCAGGAATTAGCCTGCCTCCGCCGGAGTGACGCCGGACTTAGGGCTCCGTGCGTTTGAACACACGGAGCCAAAAGCCGGCCTGACGCAGGGATGACGTCAGGAGGGGCGGGGTTTGCCGCCACGTGTGTGTGAACACACGGAAAATGGAGACGGAGTGGGGCCGGAGTGAGGCCGGCTAGCCTCCTCAAAAAGCCCCGTGTGAAAACGTCCCATGTTGTGCCTAATTTGGTCCCTAAAGTTCAAGATGTGTTACCTAGTATTTCCCCTACTGACAAATTGAGGGGAACTGCAGACTGCCAGAGATAGTGCAAATTGAGTCCACTTTAACTGTCCTGGCTCAGTGCTAGGGAATCATGGGAATTGTTTTTTCCCCGAGACATTGAGCCTTCTCTGTCAGAGAGCTCTGGTGCCACAATAAAATACAGTTCCCATGATTCCCTAACCCTAATCCTAAAAATGGACTCAATTTGCACTATTTTTGGCAGTCTGCAACCCCCCTTAGTCTGGCAAAATGGTAACTGGGCACATAAATAACCAATGTAAATCACTTACATTAGAATATATATTGGAAATCAGAATACAAGACTGGATGTATTGCAGTGGCACAACATCACAGTGGTGTCACCTCAGTCCAGAACCCACAGCTGATTCAAGATGTAGTATCAGCACTGAAGCCTGAATTATCACTGAACAAACTGTAGCAACAGATATTGTACACCCAAGCACACGATCCCTTATATTACTGGTTCCTAAATTGGTCTTTCAGGTGTTTTGGACTTCAGCTTCCAGAAGCTCAAGCCAACTTGGCCATTAGTCCAAAACATTGGGCGGTCTGAAGTCCAAAACATTGGGAGGGCTAAAGTTTGGGAACCACTGCCTTATATGGAGCAAAGGAATGGGGGCAGAGGGTATATGGATCAAAAATGTTGGTGCTAGTGGGGAGAAATAACACCGTTCCCAGCTGTTGTTAGCTGACACCTGGTGTACAGGTATTCTACAAACAAATCCGTAAAGCAAAACTGGTTGATGGGTATGAGTGCTTTGAAAATATTTTCTATCTCTTGCTGCAGCAACACCTAAAAATATGGCGCTGATACTGAGAATTCAAATTATTTTTCCAAGCCTGGACACAAGCGGCTGTTTGCATCACTGCAGCTGCCTATAGGACTGGGATATCAGTAGTTTTGTTTTTCCCCCCTCTGCTGGAAGATAGTCATCTAATTACCGTATTTTTCGCCATATAAGATGCACTTTTTCTTCCACAAAACAGGGGTGGGGAAGTTGGTGCGTCTTATAAGGTGAATATGCAGTCTAAGGAACGGCCGAGGCTGTGGCTAAAAGGAGGCCTCCTTTCAGCCGCAGCCTCGGTGGTTCAATGGGCTGCTCCTGGGATGGGAGGACGTCCTCCCATCCCAGGAGGAGCCCATTGAACCACCCAGGATGCAGAGGCCTCCTTCCACCCACGGAACGGATTAATTTCGTAAGTAGAGGTACCACTGTATTTGGTTAAGAATCTTTTTTTCCTAGATTTTCCTCCTTTAAAATTGGGTGCGTCTTATATGCCAAAAAATACGGGTATTAAACTACTCGGTGATAACTGAGCTCACACTTCAGGATACTTGTTCCAAAGTTTTTTTTGTATTAAGTAGATCAGGTGACAAATATGAATAGTAATTACAGTGTCAAGAAAAATCTAGTCTATGCGCAGTCAACAGCTAATTACCAGAACTTATATTGGATTTAATGAAGGCGGGGGGGGGGGGAACACATGACAGATGTTTTATATTTCAAAAGCAAAGCAAAGCAGCTTCATTTATATATTTCACACCTTAATACCAAAAGCATTACCTTGATATTTGTATGCACCTGTGAACATAGTAAATAAATGGAATAATAGTTTTCTTCATGGCAAAGTATCATACTGTGATTGCAGACAAGTGAACAATAAATCCTAATAATGCTAACTGTATATGTCGAAGTGTGTGATAAAATATTCAAAATGCATGTCAGTGTGAATCTTTTTGTTGGGCAACAAGATCAGTCACTATGAACTACAAAGCTAAAAACTTTAGATGAACTCACAGAGAAGTGCATTTATTATCTATGCTCTAAAATCCAAAGTAGTCAATTCTAACTTTGTTATAGTAAGTTAACGTATCATATGTATTATACCTAATTTAGGTTATTAATACAATGCATAAAACAGCAAATTTCCAGGATAAAGCTTTTCTTATTCCAACCTATATAATTTTACCCCATATGCCTCCATATACAAATTGCTGGATGCTGAGATGATTTCTCATTGGAAATTTATAAAACACTCTGAAGGTTCCAGAGAGAGTGGCAACTAGAATTTATATTAACTTCAAAAACTGAAAGAAAGGAAAAATATGAGTCAAGTGACAGTGTATATTTGTGTGAACATTAACTAAAGTATCCTGGTTTTCTATCACTCAGATTTTTTGGGGGGGGGGAGAATGTAAGCTAATGCTAGATTCAAACATGTGAAAACAACTCTGACTCTTACTGTTCCCTCAATATTTATTTGTTAATACAGTAACCTATTTGCAACGTAGCATAGTTTAGTGAAGTACAGTAGCATAAAGTACTAAATTTGTTTATATATGTGCCGCTTTAAAATCAGGCTACCATTTGAGAGCTCTAACATCTCAATAAATTGTTCACATACGTTGACTCCAAGTAGGACACAGTAAGTAAAGCAACTTGATCAGAGCCATGAGGAAAAGGTTTTAATTTTTAATTCTTTGCCCTCAACCAGACTCTCCATCTGAGGCTGCATCCACTGGCAAAAATAATCCAGGTTGACCCCACTTTAATTGCCATGGCTCAATGCTATGGAATTCTGGGGATTGTAGTTTGCTGTGACACCAGAGCTCTCTGTCAGAGAAGGCTACATGTCTCACAAAGTTATAATTCCCAGAATATCATAGCATTGAGCCATGGCAGTTAAAGCAGCATCAACCTGGATTATTTCTGCAGTGCAGATGCAGCCTAAATTAGGCCTGCTACCACTGCTATTGGTGCCTGGGGGAGGGATATTTCTACTGCAAATAACAGGCAACACACTTTCCAATTCAGTCTGACAAGGACCATGGTAGGAGCAAAGAGTTAAATCATTCTTTCCCTTGCCGTGGTCCAATCTACCCCATTCCTGCAGTGCTATTTGTTAAAAAGGACAACCATGGAAGGGCAGTATGCTGTTAGTTAATAGTGTAGGACTGAGATTTGGGCCATTCCACACTGTGCAAAAAAACAACTGGATGGTCTTGGGCCATTCAGACTGACCTACTTCACAGGAATGTTGTACAGATAACTTGGAGGAAAAGAGGCGTGTATATACCACCTAAAGAAATTGGAAAAGGAAGGATATAAATGCAACTTCTTGTTGCATGTCTTCAAGACTTTTCCAACTTATGACAACTCTAAGACAACCTTATAAAAGGAATCCTGGTGGCACAATGGTTAAATCAGGGTTAGGCAACTTTTCCCCTTTAAGGGCTGAGGGACTTCAGCTCCCAGAAGCCTCAGCCATGTTGACCAATAGTCCCATGTTGGCCAATAGCTCCTGGGATTCTGGGAGCTGAAGTCCCTCGGCCCTTAAAGGGGAAAGGTTGCCTACCCCTGGGTTAAATACTAGTACTGCAAACACAAAGTTGTGAGTTCAGCCCTAGAGGAGGGCTCCAAGGTTGACTCAGCCTTCTATCTTTTCATAGGTTGGTAAAATGAGTACTCAGCTTGTTGGGGGCAATTGGCTTACAGACTGTGGACTGCTTAGTGCGTGCTGAGTTCACTGAGAAGTGGTACAGAAATGTACATGCTATTGTTATATTGCTATTGCCATTGCTATAGTGTAAACTTGGCAAAAATTGTTCAGAGGGCAGTCAATATCCTCTAAGGCTAGTGTGATAGTGTGACCTGCCCAAGGTCACCCAATGCATTTCCTTGCCTGAATGGAGACAAAATCCTTGGTCTCCAGGGTTGTAGTTCAACACTCAAACTGGACACTATGCCAGCTCTCATAAATGCAACTAGTGAATAAATCAGGACAAATGATATGAACCTGCCAGAATGCTAAGATCTTCAGGGGGAGACTTTCTCTCAGTCCACTACCACCCCAGGCTTGTTTAGTGTGGATACGAGACATAGCCTTCCTTCTTGGTGGCTGCTCCCATCCTCTGGAACTCCCTTCCACATGAGGCTAGGCTGGCCCCCTCCCTGCTTGCCTTTCGCCAGCAAGCAAAGACATTTTTGTTTAAGCAGTCCTGCAATGCTTAAACAGGGACGGTTTTTATTTAGATATTTAATTGTAACTTCTGTATAGCTTTTACATGATTTTACAGAGTTTAATGTGGGAATTCTTAATTATTTTAAGAATTTTATTGTAAACTTTTTTTAATTTGGTATTTCTGGAAGCCACCTTGCATCCCACTCTGGGAGAAAGGTGGCATATAACAAACAAACAAACAAACAAACAAACAAATAAATGTAATTAAATCATAAATAATAAATGTTGTCAATAATACTACATCTGTTTTGACCATCCAAAAATGCAAGCAATTTGGGACAGGATATTTCTGATCTTAACTGTGCTTACCTGTCAACTAAGGGGGGTTGCAGACTGCCAGAAATAGTGTAAATTGAGTCCACTTTTAGGGTTAGAGTTAGGGTTGGGGAATCATGGGAACTGTATTTTATTGTGGCACCAGAGCTCTCTGACAAAGAAGGCTCAATGTCTCAGAAAAAAAAACAACAATTCCCATGATTCCCTAGAACTAACCCTAACCCTAAAAGTGGACTCAATTTGCACTATTTCTGGCAGTCTGCAACCCCTATAAAAAGATTTTCAGTCTTTGCTACACTCAGTTTTCAGCCAACAAAAATCTATTTTATTAATTTATTTATTATGGTCATAGATCAGCACAAACCCAAATCTATTTCTTCTTTTATAGCCACATATTGAGAGCCAGTGTGCTGCAGTGGTTTGAGTGTTGGACTATGACTCTGGAGACCAGGGTTCGATTTGCTGCTTGGCCGTGAAACCCACTGGGTGACCTTGGGCAAGTCACATACTCTCAACCTAAGGGGAAGGCAATGGCAAACCTCCTCGGAACAAATCTTGCCAAGGAAACCCCATGATAGGTTTGCTTATGGCTGCCATAAGTCGGGAACGACTTGAAAACAGACAGCAACAATAACTGTATTAGAAGGGACTGTGACACCAGGGTCAAAAATGAGCAAGAATGTTAGAACATACAGAGGATGCTTGTTATAAAATGTTACACCTCATTCAGTTGCCTTACATCTACTGAACAAGAAAAGGAAGTAGGTAACTCCCAAGGATGCTAACAAGCAATGTCCTGAAGAGATGATGATGAGTTAATTGCTTCCTTCAAGTCCATTTTGCTGAGAAAATAAGGAGCCATTCAGAAGCACGCTTGGGAGGTCACTTATCACAATTTAAAGCAAGAGGTTCCCCCCCCCCCCAGAATGAAGCCAATTATACTGCCTCTATACCGAAATCTACAATTCATGCTTCATTCTGCATTCACACTCACAAACCTTAGATAGCAGGAAAAGCAACAACAAGAACACTTCTATATAAAGAATAATAGAAAATTGAAATATAGAAGTCCAGTCAGACTTCCCTATCCACAGATTCTGAAACCTTGGACTCAATTATCCACGGCTTGAAAATATTCCCCCCAAAATTCTGGAAAGCAAAACAAAACTTGATTTTGCCATTTTATATGAGACATCTTTTTACTATGGCATTGTATTTAATGGGACTTGAGCACCCACGGGGTGTGTGGTGGATCCTGGAACCAAACCCCAACAGATACCAAAGATCCACTGTACACCTATTTAAAGGTCTGTAACAAGGTAAGGGCTAGTGTGGCATAGTGGTTTGAGTGTTAAGATTATGACTCTGGAGACCAGGTTTTGATTCCCAGCTCGGCAATGGAAACCCACTGGGTTACCTTGGGCAAGTCACTCTCTCTCAGCCCCAGGGGAAGGCAATGGCAAACCTCCTTTGAACAAATCTTGACAGGAAAACACCATGACAGGTTTGCCTTAGGGTCACCATAAGTTGGAAATGACTTGAAGGTATATAACAAACAAACAAACAAACAAGGCTATACAATCAGCCCTCTGTAGAAAAGGGAAACCATTTTAATACACCATTGTATTTAATGGAATTTGAGCATCCATGGATTTTGGTATCCACAGGGAACCAAAGCAGATACCAAGGGCCCACTGTATAGATGTTTAAAGGAGTATAATATGGTTATACAGTCAGTTTCTGCATCTACTGATTCTTTATCCATGGATTCAGCCATTCACCACTTGAAAACACAAACACACAAACACACACACACATCCCTCCCTGTTTGCAGACTTGGGGTCCGCAGTCTTGCTCTTTGCAAACGGTGAACAGGGAGGGAACAAAATGCTACGCATGCCCATGGTGCATCAATAGGACCCAAATATTGGCGATTTTTCCAATTCTTGGGGGTGGATGGGTCTAGAATGGAACCCGCAAATCGGAAGGGACGATATATAAATATATATATATATATTCCCAGAAAGCAAACTTTGAGTTTGCCATTTATATAAGGGACACCGTTTTGCTACTCCACTATATATAATGGGTCTTGAGTATTCACAGGGGATCCTGGAACCAACGCCCAGCACATACAAAGGGCCCACTGTATACCATAAGCCAGGGGTAGGCAACCATTCCCCTTTAAGGGCTGAGGGATTTCAGCTCCCAGAAGCCTCAGCCATGTTGGCCAATAGCTCCTGGGATTCTGGGAACTGAAGTCCCTCGGCCCTTAAAGGGGAAAGGTTGCCTACCCCTACCATAAGCAGTCCTATGTCTTTCTAGGAAAACTCACAACTCAAAATTTTCATGGAGAAGAAATGACACTTCCGATATCCGCCTTGGAAGCCAAGGACAGCGATCGGTCAGCAGCACACTGGAATGAATTCCTTAGAAAGGAGGATCCAGAATGTTCTGAGGCAGTTGAGGTGGGCCAGCAAGGGGGGAGGGGCACTGGACAGCCGTGGTCAAACTGCAGAAATAATGCAGTCTGACAACACTTTAACTGCCATGCTTGCTAGATACTAGACTAGTCAAGAACTAGGTAAGATCCTAAGAGTAAAAATATACACTCGTCCCTCTACATTTGCGGCTCTGCCTTTTGCGGATTTGATTATTCACCGATTTTATTAATAATATGTTCTCTCTAGGACTATCTAGGTCCTCCAGCACAACTCTATGGTCAACTTTAACCAAAAGTCGCACTGAAGGACCAAGAAGTTCCTCAAGAGAACACCCCACAAGGCATTTTTAGCTCCTCTACAGCAATTCTATGGTCAATGTCTGGCAGATGTTGACCACAGAGTTGCACTGGAGGACCTAGAGATTCCTAGAGAGGTGTTCTCTCAGGTAAAAACATAGTGTTTTCGTTATTTGCAGTTTTTCAACATTCATGGAGGTCCTGTGCTCCTAACCCCAGCGAATGTGGAGGGATGAGTGTACAACTGAGCACTAAAGTTGGAATTGCATTCCCCATCACCATGTACTGATGTGAGAGCTGGACAGTGAAGAAAGCAGATAAGAAGAAAACAAACTCCTTTGAGATGTGGTGCTGGAGAAGAGTGCTGAGAATATCATGGTCAGCCAAAAAAGACAAACAATTGGGTTCTAGAACAGATCAAGCCCAAACTTGAAAGCCAAGGTGATGAAACTGAGGCTGTTGTACTTTGGCCATATCATGAGAAGGCACGGCTCATTGGGAAAAACAGTAATGCTAGGAAAGATGAAAGCAACAGAGAGGAAGACTGCATGTCAGATGCATAGACTCAAACTGAGAAGTCATGGGCCTGGATCAGTGGAGGACAGGTGGGCTTGGAGATATTTCATCCATAGGGTCCCCATGACTCCAGGTCACCTCGAGGGCAGCTAACAACAACACCATTGTATAAAATGTTGACTCACACGTTCATTTTACTTCTCCCTTTTCTTCCAGGAGCCTTTTACTTTGCAATTCCTTCCTTTCTTTTTATTCTTGGTTATTTCACTGATATAGCATTGCTTCACTGATATAGCACTGGGTGAGCTTATCACAGTGTAGGTATAAAGCAAATCAGTGCAGGGCAGTTAGATATGGCTGTAAAATTACAGAACTATTCCCCTGCCCCATGCTCAGTCCTAGAAAAAATAGTGGGCGAGTAGAACAGATCCCACATGATCTTGGAAGCTAAGCAGGGTCAGCCCTGGTTAGTACCTGGATGGGAGACCACCAACAAATATCAGGCGTGTGTGTGTGCCTTTATGTTGCCTGTTGACCTATGGCAAGTCAATGAATTTTTCATCAGATTTTCTTAGGACGTTATCACACGGGGGAAATCTGCTGGTTAATCCAC